GACTTTTTGTAGTCAAAGAACAGGTGCACTTAAAATATTGTGTAAGATTACTTCTAAGTTATGTGTATAAGTGAATTTTATATTTGGATGTAAGCCCATCCCAGGATCTCATTGTTTAAATATATGCAGATATTCCAAAATTTTTTTAAATATTGAGATAAAAAATATTTCGGTCACAGACATTTTTGGATAAAGGATAAGAAATGTTCAACCTGTGGCAAAATCTCAGTAGGAGGATGTACCTTGTACATTGTAAAATCTTCTGTGAGAGACTTTTCTGTACATTTGAAATGTTTCATAATGGAATGTTGGAGAAAGCGTAGTCTTGTCGGTTCTCGAGAAGCCCTTTTAGCTTTCTTGAAGCACTTGTGTGCCCTTGTCCTTTTGTGCTACTGGAAGCTCGGTGTCGGCATTAGATAGTTGATGTGTAGAACTGATTTGTTGCAGTTGGAGCAGCAAGCTTCTTGTGGGCAGGCATGCTGTCTTTCTGTATCTTTGATGCACTGGCTGGAAAGACATGATCTAGGGCACAGTGAATATAGACCCCCCTCCAAATGATTGTAGGGCTAGCTTGAAGTAAGGTAGGCGTGAACTCTAAAGTTATTCTTGTAACTTTTTGTGAAAGTCATTTTTATAATGTAAGCTGATGTGGATGAAGCAGTGTGTGTGTATGTGTGTGTGTGTGTGTGTGAGAGAGAGAGAGAGAGAGAGAGAGAGAGAGAGAAAATAGAGGAAAAAGGAGTAGTATGTCTGGTATCCAGCATGCTGAGCCTGGCTGTGCCTACTAGAGACCCATGCCTACTTCTATCAGTGGTCCTAGTCAGGGAATCCTGCCGTTCACTGATGTGATTCGTGTCCAAGACTGTGTACCACATTTGGAGGGTAGACCAACAGGACATCCATCAGGTCCAACAAAAAGACTCCAGCACAATGGAGTTAATAAGAATCTTTCAAAAAGGATATGAAAAAAAAATAGAATTAAAAGTTGATTTTGACATGAAATAATTTTGAAATTCATAGTGTTTTTATAATAGACATTTTAAATAAGCCTTTTTATAAAGATTGATTTATTTATTTGAAAGGCAGAGAGAGAGACAGATCTTCATCTGCTGCTTTACTCCCTAAATGATCAGTGGCCCACACTTAGCCAGGCCAAAGGCAGAAGCCAGGATCTTCCATGTCAATGCAGTGCACTAAGGACTTGGACCATCTTCCCCTGCTTTCCCAGGAGCTGGATCTGAAGTGGAATAGCCAGGACTTGAACCAGCATCCAAATGGGATGCCAGTACCACAGGCAGCAGCTTTACCCATTGTGCCACAAGGCCAGCCCTCTGTGAACATCTTGAAAACTGCATATAAATTACGAGTAGACTAACATATTGCAAAATCATTTGGAATAATGCATTTGTTTTGTATTTATTTGTTTCCCTGATATTTACTAGGTTGGGTGGCAGCGAGGAAGAGTCAGGGAGAGAGAGAGAAAGGCTTTTAGTTCAGGCAAAGGATTTTATTAGGGGAGTCTGATAGACTGCTTCCTAGTGGGATCTAATCTGGCTATTGCCACCTGGTGGGATGACCATGAGAGGGAAATGGTTCCTAGGGCATATGACGCTGGACTTATACATCCCAGGCACAGGGATGGGAGAAGGTGGCAGCTCCTTGGTTTGTGAATACGTGTAACATGTAGTATGAGGTACTGATGATGTTGACTGTTGGCACAAAGACAAGGTCAGGGTGATTTGGCATTCCAAACATTCCTGGATGGGAGGGTAGGCTTGACTTCTACAGGGTACTACAATCACTTCTGCTCTGCCCAAATTAATAAGACTTTAAAATATTTTTCATTTCTGGGAATATTTTGGAATTTTTAATGTTTAATTCTCAGAACCAACACCATAATATTAATTTTTTTATTTAAAAGATCAGTAAGGTTATTAATTTCAATAACATAGCCTAGGTTATAGATTAGTCTGTAATTCCAAGCTACAGTGAATGTCTGATTGATTTTGACTTTGATTTTTCAGGAGGATTGAAATGCCACCAGGTCTGTAAACAATATTTGAACACTTAAGAAAACACTAGTTTTCAGGGCTCAGCATGGTGGCCTAGTGGCTAAAGTCTTTACCTTGCATGTTCTGGGATCCCATATGGGCACTGGTTCTAATCCCAGCGTCCCTACTTCCCGTCCAGCTCCCTGCTTGTGGCCTGGCCTTGGGAACCTGCACACAAATGGGAGACCCTGAAGAGGCTCCAGGCTCCTGGCTTTGGATTGGCACAGCTCTGGCCGTTGCAACCACTTGGGGAGTGAGTCAACGGATAGAAGATTTCCCTCTCTGTCTCTCTTCCTCTCTGTATATCTGATTTAAAAAAAAAATACAAATTTTTAGAGAGTTATTTGGGGAAGGTGTATGAAAATAGATAACTCTGATATTCAGAAGAATAAATAGCTGCTGTTCCACACAGCACTGAGTAAACACCTGTTGTAGGAGCAGGAATTTTTGCAAGTACCTGAGCTGAAACCAGAGCTGACATTGTTAAAGTCCAGAGGTGTCATGTCCATAGGCCATGGAGTATACAGTCAAATGTGGCTGAACTGGATATTGATGTCATTCATTCGACCAAATGCTCTAAGAAATTGAAAATCAGTTATATAGATCATATGTAACACCTCTCAAGATATCCTGTCTGATTTCATGAAAACTAGTAAATTTGGAGGCAAAAATCATTTTGCTGTGTGGACAAAACTCACATGAAATTGTGTGTGATGTCCTGCCTGGGATTGATTTCATCCTGAACTCAGGCACTCGTACACCCCTGAGCAGGGCATTCATGGAGGCGCCAAGCTAGAGGGTGCTTGGCACTTCTGCAGGCATTGTCATTTAGGTCTGGCTTCTGGTAATTAGGCACTCTTGCTTGGATTCTGCTGTCTATGAACCTTTGAGATAGATTGCAAAATCTGTACAAGCATCTGAGAGATGGATAAGTAGAGCCAATGACACTACAGGGGATATTGGTAGTTCTTAGGAGTTTGAAAAAGAATGTGTAGAGAAGCAATCCTCAGAACTGAATTTAGAGGTCATTTTCCTATCCCCCTCAAGGTCATACCATGTTCACTTAGGCAGGCTCCCAGAAGTTCTGGCATACTGAAATGTTGCCTGGATTTAGCAGGATGAAATGAAATAGAAATATATGCCATGTGCTGTTTTGGGGTCTCACAGCCCAAGCTTGTCATGAAGACTGGGATCCTTGGTGGCAATGGATCTGAGGAATGACCCATAATGAACAAAACCAGGAGTCCAAGTTCACATAAGTTGCTCTTCTTTGTGTTTCTTAATAAAATCTAATGCAGGGCCCAGCGCGATAACATAGTGGTTAAAGTCCTTGCCTTGAACGTACTGGGATCCCATTGGGTGCTGGTTCTAATCCCAGCAGCCTTGGGACCCTGCACCCATGTGGGAGACCTGGACGAGGCTACTGGCTCCTGGCTTCTGGCTTCGATTTGGCTCAGATCCGGCTGTTGTGGCAGCTTGGGGAGTGAATCATGGGCAGAAGATCTTGTTCTCTGTCTCTCCTCCTTTCTGTGTATCTGCCTTTCCAATAAAAAAAAAAGATAAATCTTTTTTAAAAAATCTAATGCAGAATTTGGCTGTGTTAGCAGTAATAACTTGTGCTCATATAGTTAGTATTATAATTCTGGATTCCAAATGCCAACAGAAAAATAGACAAAGGATGATTATGGTGTACTCTGGAGGTGTTCCAGAACTTGTCACAGAAAGCAGAGAAATAGGGGCAGTTTTGCTGTGCACAGCAGAGAAGGATCTAGAAACTGCCATTAATGGCAACAAGGCAGCAGCACATAAGGAATTCAGTTGTTTGGATTAGGAGGAATAAGAAGGATGCAGGGACGAAAGTTAATGACAGTGCTAAGTGAGAAGTTTGCACCCTTAAGTGTTTGGAAGATCGGTTGTGTTCTCTGCTCAAGTCTGATACTGCCAGCCTAGACTGCTTCTGAAGATGGGGACCTTGAGGGGTTGCGGGTGAGTTTCTTTCTAACCCAGCATCCCAGGATCCCTGGGCTGTCTGGAACATGGCTTTTTCAGGGGCAGGTAGCATACAGAACCATGGTGGCAGTAACATCCTTGGCAGTGACTGAAGTCACGGCTCAGATCTAGCTTGTCTCTGAGTGACTTGAGCACATGAAGGAACTCCTGGTATACTTCAGGCTTGTTCTGGACCCAAAGGAGATCTTAGGGTGGAGCTGATGTGAATAGCCAAGAGCAGTTTAATGAAGCCCTGGTTTGCATTTACTCAAAAGAAAAAGATATAAAAGCAGTTTTCAGTTGTTGGTGTTAGGCCAAGTCACAGTTGTAAATATTACACACTCAAAGGGTTTGTGTTAAATGAGTAAGTTTTTATTTAATGTGTCTCAGTAATGCATTTTCCCACTTAAATTCTATGGATGTATTTTTCTATTTGGTTTCATTTCTTTGAAATCAGATGTCTGTCTGAAACTTCTCAGTCTCCTAATGGAGTAGGGAGAGGATGGTTTTTCCTGAACTTTCCTAAAATGTTTAAAACGTAGTCTGTTTTCCCTGTTGTAGTCTTAGATTGCTGTTAGGTGCTGCTTTCATGCTGTTATAGTGATTTTAACTGGAGAGGGGGAAGAAAACGAATATGAAAAATTAAGACTATAACTGGGCTTATTTAGTCTTGGAGTAATCCTTGTTGGCTTTTGTTCCCTATGTCTGACCTGTGACCACCCCAATGCAAACAGAAAGGCACATTTTTTTCTCTATCCTCAATCGCCGGTCTAAGTTCAAAATTAAACGCCTTTTATCTTAATTTTCTATAATTTTTTTCTGGAATTTTTTTAAGCAATAATAAACTCACAGGTGCAAAGTTCATGCATTTTTAATTTGACTTTTATTCCTAGCTTTCAGGTGCCTCTCCAAGGAAAGAAAAATGTAGCCCACTTTATTGTACATTCTTCTTTCTTTCAGGTAGGAATGAATTGATAGCCAGATACATCAAACTCAGGACAGGGAAGACAAGGACCAGAAAACAGGTACAGTAACCCCGCCTGAAAGTTGTGCATGTCCGCGAATGGCCCCAGGAGGCATTTTGGCTGCAGTGGCTGGCTGTGCTTGGGCTCCTAGGAGCCCCAGTGGAGTTCCCTGAAAGGACGTCAGAGCCGTAGGTGTCCGAAATTGGCTCAGTTTCATCGTTTTAGTGACCTTCATTTTGTGGTCTATTGAATACTTTTCATACTTTTGGGAAAGTCAAAGCCTGCTGGGGACAGTGTAGGAACTGTTCCTGTAGTATGCTACGCAGTTTAACATTTCTTTCCCAAAAGGTGTATCTGCAAACATTGCCAAAACTGCTAATCCATTTGCCAATCATGAAATTTGGAGATTTTATGTGTCTTAAAATCCTGCAACGATTACCTCTTCATCATTTATGATGAAAAAGGCACCCTAGTGGCCTTGAGTGTCGGTCTGATTATCACACTGAATGATGTGCGTCCAGGGAACTGTTGCTTCTTAAGCCATGGCTTTTTGTTGGTAGCTGCTGTGACTGCAAAGAAGTTACAAGGTGAATGCATCTGTGCCCAGCACAGTCTGAGTTCTGCTCTGCCCCTTGCCAGGGCGCTGCCTTCTCCCGTTCTTTCAGATGTAAAAGCAGCCCAAGTCACTGATGTGACCCAGTTCCGAACTGGGTTGTATGCAGCATTAACAAGTGCTTAACTAAGAACAGAAGAAAACATACGACAAGGCCTCTTGGGCAAGTTGTGCACGGGAAAAAAAAAGTTATTTGCACCTGTGCCGAATGATATGGTACAGATTTTTAAGAACTGTAATCAAACTGAAAGACATGCTAAATGCTACTGGCTCTCCAAGAGCCAGCTGCAAAGTTCTGGTTCTTTTCCCAGCTAGGAGGTGGTTTCAGGAGCTTTGATAAGCAAAGCCTTTTCTGCAAGAATGTTTCCTGATCTGGTTGCTGAGTCAGCACAAAGGGAAGTGGCCTCCTGCCAGCCAGCAACCAAGGCTGGGCATTGTCTGTTGGGGTGAGGCTCCTCCCCACAGTGGCCCTCATGGAGCCCAGAGAATCATTGCTGAACAAAATTGGGGTGAAAACCAGCAGCAGGAGCCAGATGGAGGGGTGAAGAGAATGGAGGAGTTCTTGCTTCTCCATACTTCAAATACACAAAAGCAAATTGAGCGGGGGTGGTGAAGACCTAGTGATTGAAGCTCCATGGCAAAGTTAAAGATGAAAGGAACCCTTATTACCATAAACCTGTTTCTAGAGAATTTGGCATGAGGTAGTCTGTGTGCAGTCTGCATGGCTGAACGGAAGGCTGTCTGTTTGAGAGTTGTACTGTCTACTGCCCTACAGACTGAAAGTGCTGGGCCTGGACCCTCAGCCAGCCTCTGAGCTCTGGTCATTTGCCTGGTGACCCCTTTACTTGGGCACCTCTGAAATTCAACCAAGGCCCACTGAAAGATAGGCAAATGGATTTGCCCGTGGAATCATTATGTTCCAGAAGCCAGGCTTGGCCATGTGTCCACACCCCCGCATCCCGGGGATGTTTTCAGGCAGCAGTTGCTGATACCTCTCCAACCCATGTGGTTTTCAACCCAGATTTTTAACAGGATGGCTGGCCGGCTGTATTCACACATTTCGCTTTGTAATAATATGCAAATCCACTTGGAGTCTAGTCAATACCCAAAAGAGTAGAAGGATTAAAGATATTTATAAGGGAGGAAAAAAAAGCAAGCTCTACTAACTGGGTCTTTCCATTTCTCTTTGAGATCTAATTTACATGTCAGTATTATTTTAACGTTTGCTACAGAATCCAGAGCTCTTAATGAGATCAGAATACAGCCCGCAGCTCAGCTTTTTGATTCTACAGAATGTGTTAATTTATGGATAAGTCTCCTCTAAATTAAGAAAAAGGGATTTTCCCTTCTGAGAACCTAAGATGCTGTAAATATTTTCATTTACCTCTACCCTCACCTTTTTAACTCTTATAAAGAAAACTGCCCTACTCTCCCTCCCAAATTTTGTTTTTCCCACTGTCCACAATTTCTCCTGGGTGGGAAAACTTAGGAGGAACCCAAACTTGCCTTCCTGAGTCACTGCAGTGATGACCCAGTCTGAAAAGCTTAGAGCAGTGCTGGGAGCTTGGTGTCTGGCTGGAACTGTGTATTCCTAACAGCAGAGCTTTTGTTGAGATGCAAATAACCTTCCCCTTCCCTTCCCCTCCCCTACCTTCCCCAGGAATAGAGATTTTATATTTGATTTCCTTTTTTTTGTTTTGTTTTGTTTTGTTTTGTTTTGTTCTGTTTCCCCCTCATAAACCCGAACAATGTAGGTGTCTAGTCATATACAGGTCTTAGCAAGAAAGAAAGTTCGAGAAATTCAAGCCGCCATTAAGGTACGTCTGGCTTGCCCAGTTGTAGGGGGCTTTTCATCTCCATGGTTACAGGCTTTTCCTTTGTTTTCCTCCCTTCCCCTACCCTGCAGGTGTCTAGTCACATTCAGGTTCTTGCCAGAAGGAAATCTCGTGATTTTCATTCCAAGCTAAAGGTATGCGCTTTTCTGCTTTTTGGCTTGTGGTTGCCATGCATCTCACTTCCTGTTTTCCATGGTGACTGGTGAATGCCTGGTGCTGGGATCCTGGTAACCTAGTCTTCTTGCATGTGAGAGCTGTTTACATTTCTTTGTGTCTAATCTCTCTGTTTCTGTACTAGCCTCACATTAAACTCAATGTGTGTGCCTGTGTGTGTGTGAGCGTGTGTGTGTTTCTAATAACAATGCAATGCAGCAGAAAGCTGGTCTTGATAACTTTTCAGCACAGAAGCATAATCTTTTTCTTTTCTTTAATGTTAGAGTGTCCATCAGGTATCCCTGGGCTAATAAGAAAGCTTCAAAAAAATTTTTTTTTTAAGAACAGCAAAGCAAACAAAAAAGAAATGCCTGAGACGCAAAGTTGATGTAGGAATTATAAGAAATGAATCATTTTCAAAGTAATTATAAAATTACTTTCAATAATATTTTAAAATTATTTTAATTTGTGCATTTGATGTATTTTTTCAAGAACACTTATAAAATATGCATCTTTTTCATGTATGTCTCTTGCAATGCAGGGAAGCTTTTTGGCTAGATTTCTTCCACGTTGCTTAATGCTGCTTATTAATTGAATGACTCTTATTAAAGAGAGACTTAAGTCATAGCCTTTAAAAAATGAAATAGATGGATCTTAGAGATGGAAAAAGCTCTTGATCAACTCCACGCTTCCAATTCTATTTATACCTGAGTTTACTTAAACATTTTTCATATGAGCCTCATTTTCCACTCTCTTAAGTTTATTTCTGAGCAAAAATGAGGGCATTGTTCATTTTTAAAATACATGTTCTCTCTTTTTTTTTTTGTCTTTCTAAAACTGGCATTAAAATTTGCCTTTTGCTTTTCTATAAGAAATGCAGAAAGACGATATAGTTCAATGGAGGACCTTCAGTGTGTAGTAAAAACTAATTTTGAGACCATATTATCGCTATTCCCATGTGCCTTTATTTTGCTCTGTCCATACATGAATTAAAGGGGAGCTTTTGTTCTCTACTAACATCAGTGTCATCTCACTGCACTGAGAGAGCACTGGGGTCCTTCCTGAAGTCCCCGAGCTTTCCCGATGCCAACAAGGCAGGCAGTGGACTAGGAAGGACTAGCAGACCAGTGACTAGGAAGGAGCACGTGGTACGCCCTCTGCAGTGGGCAGCATGCTGGCTCGCTGGCTTGCACGTCTGGCTGATGGTGGCTGGCTTGTTAGCTGCGCTGGCTGAGCAGTTGGAAGACTAAGATCACTTCATAGATCCTGCTTTTTAACCACAGGTGCAGTACTCTCTATGTGGATGTAACTACCCCAATGTTGGCTCAAGTTCTGACTCTGTTTCTAGTTTCTCTGAGCTAATGAATTAATGATGTACAAAGAAGTTTATAGATACCAATTTTGTATTTCCATCTGTGATGTATGAATTATTCTGATTCTGCACTGTGTGGTTCCTCTTGACTCACCAGAGCACACAGCCTTAGACTGAATACCCTGTTAAGAAACGAATGAAGCGCTGGTGTTGGGTGGGTAGGTGGGTGGGCTAGGGATGTGGGCAGCACTTGTTCTTACTTGGTGGTTTAAAGATTTTCTCCCTCTGAAACACTTTGCCATTGGTTTACTATGTGTATGTATACATATGTGCAAACACAGAGCTGTATTTCTGTTTGTTCTTAAGACATCAAAAAAGAAGGCCCTCCCCCCTCCTATCCCACACACACCCTCAAGTGCACCTGGTCGGAGGAGAAGGGTACATGCACAGCCTGTCACATAGCAACTGGCCGTCCTCTGTAAGCTCTAAGGACCACCTCTTCCATAGAGTTCCTGCAGTAAATGGACTCCTTTGTTTACCGTCAGCTGACACCAGTTGAGTGTAGTCAGCATGGCACTCATGGTGGTGGAGAGTAACAGCCAGCCCCCTTTCCCCAGAGCTGGCGGTGTAAATGGAGATGTGAAATCCAGGATACTGTGAGGAAAGTGTTAACAGAGAGCCACAGGGATGTATGCTGTGATCCCAGGGACAGGCCGCATAGAGAAGGTCCTTCTGAGCTTGGGGATTGCAGGATAGAGTAATTGGAATGCCTAGCTTCACAAGTTCTTTCCTTGAAGTTCATTAAGCAGTGACTTAGATCATTTTGATTTTTTGCTAAGACCCAGAGTGTAATTGATGTGTCAAGAGTCACCATACTTAGGAAAGGGCAAAGACAGAATTTGAACACACAGCCTCTGAGCCTTCACCTCCTGCCTTTCAGACAGAACGTTATGCAGTGAACAAGGAAGAATATTTGCAAGGTGAAGCCTTTGTAGCAGCAAGACATGCCCATGGCCTGTTGCCCGTCTTGTTCCCTTGGAACTAAGAGTGAGGCCGTTGCTGCCAGCTCTTCACTTAGCATGCCTATATACTTTTGAGCTTTTGCTCATAATTGTGGGGTTTATTTGGGATTGCCATAGGGGGTTACATGGGCCTGGCTTCTTAGCCGCTGTGTCGGCACACACAGGGTGTTAGGAGAGATGGGGAGAATGAATCTGGCTGCCCCCACTTACCAGCAGTGCTGTTTTTGCGCCTTTCCTGGACACTGTATCTGGAAGACACTGTGAACTTTCCAACAAGCCGCTCCCAGCTATAGGCTCAAGTTTGCCACTTTGCAGGAGTGGTGGTTGTCATTGACCTCTCTTCACACCTTGCTCAACCCAGGAATCTAATGAATGGACCGTGGAAAGATGGCAGGGCTGTGCATCGTCCCTGAGCTCCACTCATAGGTCACCTGAGGGGTCAGCTGATAACCACAGTCTTCTTGACCTTCCACACTAACTAAAAAGAGCAGCTCCCTCCAGAAATTAAAGTCATGGTAGAGGTCAACAAGGATAGTTCTTGGGTGAGTCGGGGAGGTGGCAGGAGATGATCAAACTTACAGTAGTCAGTGGTTCTTTGGACTAGTGGAGCATCTGTCATTGCTGGCTTGCCCCTGCCACACTGGTCACCAGTTCTTCGCATACTCAGAAGGCTAAGGCATGCACTAGGGGTCCGTGCTCCTCCTGTGGAGGCCGACACCAGCCTCACAACTCCTGGCTTCTTGGAGTTTGACAGTGTGCCTACACCTGGGCTCCTGTCAGGTATGGCTGCTTATAGGTGGCCTGAACTTTCAGGCTAGTGAGTTTCCAGCCTTTTATTTTTTTTAAGGCAGCAAACTTCTTTTTTTCATATTGAAATCTTAACAAGACTTTGAATTTTTACAAGAGTTAAGCTCTTTTGTAACTGAAGATGTCCTGGTTGTTGACTGGATATAGTTTGAAAAACCACTGTACGGGCCTGGTGGCATGGCCTAGTGGCTAAAGTCCTCTCCTTGAACACACCGGGGTCCCATATGGGCACCGGTTCTAATCCCGGCAGCTCCACTTCCCATCCATCCAGCTCCCTGCTGTGGCCTGGGAAAGCAGTCAGTGGAGGACGGCCCAGAGCCTTGGGACCCTGCACCCGTGGGGGATACCCGGAAGAAGTTCCTGGATCCTGGCTTCAGATCGGCAAAGCATCGGCCGTTGTGCTCACTTGCGGGGGAGTGAATCATCAGACGGAAGATCTTCCTCTCTGTCTCTCCTCTTCTCTGAATATCTGACTTTCCAATAAATAAATAAATCTTTATAAAAAAAAAAACACTGTACTCTTCAAGAAGGAATAGGAGAATCTCACACTGGCCCCCATCTCTGACTATCCCTTCCAGCCTTTGCAAGGCAGTGTGTGGGGCCCTCTTTAAGCTCATGTTTAATTGTGTAGCGGGCTCTCCTGGGTTCCTGTGGGGGCTGCAGGCTCCTTCCCAGATACTGTTCATAGTCAGATCATCCTGACCACAGAATCTGAATAAGAGTCACTATGTAGACTTAAATTGTCTTACTAAAATATTATTCTTGCAAAAGTTCTGGATATCCCCATTACTTCGAACTTCAGAAGCTTAGGAACTGTCCCCAATCCAGTGGCATTTGTTGGTAGCCCATGATGTTTTGGGGCCCCTTTTAGATGCTTGGGCCATGCTCCCAGGGTTACATAAAGCCCAGTCAATGTTGAGTAAAATAGACTTGACTTTTTTTTGTCACCTGAAGCTCCTCCTTATCCAGGGAGAGCTGCATAAGAAAATTAAACTAGGGAAGGAATGGTGAACCTTTTTTTCCTTATAACATCACTTGCACATCATACAAAACTATCAACTTAACAGTTAGCCTGCTCTAGATTTAGTGCACCCTGCTTGCCATTTTCTTAGAAGGGCCAGATAAAATGATTTTGTGGGATAGCCTGTGTCCCAGATGGTCCCCACCCCTCTTAAGAGGAAGGCAGAGTTTTGGTGGATATGGAAGGTGCTTGCGGAGCCCTGAGTGACACTGGGTAGCTGAAGGTGTGTACTAGGGGTGCTTGAGGGGCCTGTGTCACAGTTCATGGACCATCCCACAGACGAGTGGGGTTCCTCTGTGGTCCTGGCAGAGTACGTGGAAGTTGTTCACATTCATACATTGCAAAGATCTCCAGCCAGTTTTTGAACTATGCATTGTAAGAGGTCAACCTCTGTTGTTCTGCCTTTCAAATAAATGAGCAAATATTACAAAAGAGAAATAAAGAAAGAGGCCAAGCTACAGGCAGGTAAGTGGGAGGCAAAGGCTGCCCCATTCACTGGGAGCCATCCCCAAGATGCTCGGCAGTCCTCATTGTCTTGCTGCAGCCCACTCGTACTGCTGTGTACTCTTTCTCCTTGCTGGTTTTAAGGAACAAATTATGTTTACAACTTCTACACCAAAACTTTTCAGGAAGATTTTTCAATAACAACATTTAAAAACATATAGCATTTAAAATGTAGCTGATTCAAGTCTGGGGTCTTTTAAAGTAGTGATGGTTAAAATATGCGTCCAAATTAACTATGATGTTTTTGTTATTGCTAAGCTTTAAATATGTACCATTAAGCACCCTCCAGAAATTATCATTGTCATTGTGACATGC